TACAAAAACTGAATGGATTTGAGCCACAGGCTGTAGTGTGCTAATCCCTGCTCTAAATCAAAAGTGCTGGCTAAAATTATTTATGGACCTAGCTTACTTGAGTTTAGTTTTAAAGAATGAAAATGGTTCTTCCTGGTTTTGGGTTTAGTGGTTCAGGATCTCTTTGGCCTAGGCTCTAGTCCTGTCCTACTCACCCTCAATCAGAGACCTCTTCATCAAATTTCAGGACCTTCATTTGTTGCCTGGTGTCCAAGGTTGTAGCTTTGGCTGGGGGTAGGGTGAGAGTCTCTGCCTCTTGAGTATCACATGTTAAATGTGGTTGCTTGTCAAATGACCGCAAAAACATTAAACACAAAATAAAACCCCAAGCCAAATGATTTTATTCTTGGACAGATTATGGGACATTTCACCCCTTTGACTACATTATCTCGAATATGCTTAATATTTTATATTGGGACCAGTCTGAATATAAGGGCCCTTCAGCCTAGAAACATCTTACTGTGTTAGCTGTCTGCTGTCCCTTTGAAAGGGAAGCCAGTTGACTGCCTCCTCTGCTTAAGTTTTTGCTTTATTGAAGTTTCTTTACTGTATACTAGTTATGAAGAAGTTGTTTTTCTCTACTATGAAAAAAAAGACAGCAATTGGTGTTCTNCATTTTGTGTTTTTTTTTTTTTTTGCAAGATTCATTTTTCTGCATCTTGGTTCTTTGGTTCTTGCCTTGATCCTATGTGCAGTTTTTTGCAAATACTATTTCTTAGAAATAGTCTGATATAGTTTTTTATTTGCCTGGTTTAGTCCATTAGGGCTACTGTAACAAAGTATCACAGACTGGGTGGCTTTATAAACAATGAAAAGGTATGTTTCACAGTTCTTGAGGCAGGAAGCCCAAGATTAGATGCCAGCATCTTTGGTTCTTGCCTTGATCCTATGTGCAGTGTTTTGCAAATACTATTTTTTAGAAATAGTCTGACATAGGTTTTTATTTGCCTATTTTAGTCCACTAGGACTACTGTAACAAAGTACCACAGACTGGGTGGCTTTATAAACAACAAAAAGGTATGTTTAACAGTTCTTGAGGCAGGAAACCCAAGATTGGGCACCAGCATGTTTGGGTTCTGTTGAAAGCCCTCTTTTGAGTTGCAGGCTGCTGACTTCTTGCTATATCTTCATATGGTGGGAGGGGCAAGGGAGCTCTTTTTTTTTAAAGGGCATTGCTTTCATTTATGAGGGCTCCATTCTCATGACCTAATCATCCCCATCAACCCCCCTTTCCCCGCTATAGGCCCCACCTTCTGATTCCATCATGTTGGGCATTAGAAATTCTACACAGGAATTTTTTTTGGGGGGAGGTGGAGGACAAACATTCAGACCATAGTGTAGCCTATTTCTAAAGTGCATTCTAGATGCCAGATCATGTTGTTTTATTCAAAATAAGTTTTTTTCTGTATTGTAAGGTCTGTTATATCAGAAACATGGTTACTGGAGCTGTCGTATTGTTTGACATTACGGGCTAGACATATTTCCCAATCGTTACAATATTACATTGTTTTTTTTTCCTGTTAAGAACCTCAATTTAGCCTTTTCCTAAAACAGCCATTGTCAGTTTAATTATATTTTTGCCTCTAGTTAAAATCACTTGCTCTAATACACTGGCTATCTTGTCCATCTTTGAGGAAACTTCAGTTACTTTTCAGTGCATTTTTTCAAAGATGTATCACCCAAAAGGTGTGAAGTCCTCAAGATTTGAGAAGGCATTTTATTAGTCTCTGTATCACAAGCATCTGGTATATAGTAGGTATTTATGTTTATTTAAATTAAGGAATTTCACCATTACAGGTTCACCATTTCTTTATTTTTCTACTTGTTCCCTTCTGATATGGTTCCTTTGTTTATTCCTCAGAAGTCATAAAGATATTATATGTGCTTATAAGTATTCCTTAATGTAGCTGGTGGAAGAGGTAGGGAGCTAAGCTTATGTTCTCTCGTAAGGTCACATGACTACTGATGGTTAGGGTGGACAAAAGCCTTCTAAGATGCTTGAGCACAAGAGTGTGCCAATGTTCTGCCACAGCTGCCATTAGAAAAAAATTACTTTGGACATTCAAGATTACTGATTGTTACTAGAGTCCCATTGTATATGAAATAGCTTAGCTGTTACTTAGCAAATCTGTAAGGTTTTAAAAAGCATTTTAAAAATCTTTGGTTTGGTTACATTTTCTGTCTTATGTAGCAAAGGTCAATCCAATTGATTGGACTAATGGCATTTGAGACATTTAATAGTAAATTCATTAGCCAGTTCTTCTTTTTGAAAGATGCAAGGTTGATACCTGTTATAAATAGAGGTGCATATACTGCCTCTTCTAGATTACTGCCTTAAATTGCACCTATAAAGAAATTAGTAGTTAGTTGACAGTGCAGGTCATTGATAGAAGTCTCAAAAGAGTAATACTGCTTAATAAAACATGTCAGTGGTTCATATTATAGCAAACTAAAAATGTAAACTTTAATGTGAATGAAACAACATTTCCATGTAACATGTTGCTGTTCTAGTTCTTATATACAAGTTTTGTATATGTAGCTTAATGGGTAATTAATTATAAGCCAGCCATTTTTTTCAAAATTATATTCAGTGTATCTTTTGTCCTTTCTGTTAGAGTATTATTCATTTTATATAATGATTGAATCTTTACATTTAGTAAATGTAGGAGTAGTTATAAGGTTGGAGAATTTGCTAGATCTTATTTTGATAATATTTATTGTCAATGTTACTAGCAGTTTGGAGGCATTTTTTCCAGTCTTTATTCAGGCATAATTGACATATAATAAACTGTCCAAATTAAAGTGCATCTTGAGTTTTAACATATGTATACACCCGTGAAAACCTCACTGCAACTTAGATAATGCTTGTTTCTATTACCTCCTCCCCCCCCCCCCAATTTCCTCCTTTTTTATTTCATTCCCCTTCACTGCCTCGCCAGGCAACCACTGACCTGCTTTCTGACTCTATAGACCAGGTTGCATTTTCTAGAATTCTTTTATAAATGGAATCATATAGCGAATGTTCTATTTTGTCTTGCTTATTTCATTCAGCATCATTATTTTGCGATTCATGCATGTTGTATATATTAATAGTTCTTTCCTTGTTATTCCTGAGTGGTGTTCCACTGTATATACTACAAATATACTGTACCACAATTTCTTTACCCATTCATATGTTGATGGACATTTGAGTGTGTCCTATTGTATATAGAGCTGCTAGGAATATTTGTGTACAAGTCTTTGTGTGGACATAGATATTTACTTCCCTTGGGAAAATACCTAGGAGTGAAATGGCTGGGTCATATGGTAGGTGTAAGTTTGACTTTTAAGAAAACTCCTAGTTTTACAAAGTAGTTGTACCATTTCATATTTTATATTTCTTCTAGTAGCATTTAAAAATTCTAATTGCTATTTTGGAGTCACTTTTACATTTATTTTACTTTTTCAGTTGTTATTTGAGAGCCATACTTTTTGGGGTTACAGGGAGGGGCTAAAATATTTAGACATTTTCCTCCCAGAACTTTAAGTAAACATCTTTTTGGAGAATTTGTGAAAATTGGAACTCTTTTCAGTAAGACATGATCAATGTGTTAGTCCATTTTTTCCTTAGTATGTGAAATGGAAAAAAAAATGTGTTCTTAACTTCAGATTTCATAAAAAGAGGAAAGAAATACTTATAGTATTTGAAGAGTTTGGTTTTCTAAGTAATTGCCAAGATACTGTGAATCAGACATTAGTTTTATAGCATTTAATATAGTTGCAGAGTTAATAGGAGTAACTCTGGAAATCTTATAAAATAGGTTATGTAAGAATTTTCATTGAAAAATCCCTGAAGTCATCTGTTAGGGACAGTGTTTGACATAATGTCTCTCCCTAAGTTCAACACAGTTCTATTTTCTGCTGCATTAGCCAGTGTTTATTTGCTTGCCGCAGTGAAGTGGTTAGCTTGCATGTACGGGTTGTGTCTAATGAAAAAATATGTAATTTAAAACACTAGAATTCTATTTGGCTTAATGCATAAGACCTGTGGGAACTGATATAAACAGCATAGGAGATTAATATCTCATGCTGACTTTGGGTCATAAGTATACATTTTATTGAGAGGAATGGTGGGTAGAATTGCCTGTATCATTTAATTTAATTTTTATTTCTATCATTTTTTTTGCTGTGTGTAAATGGTTGTATTCTCATAAATTAAATGCATATATGATGTCACTGCACTATAATATAATATGGCAGCAGCTGAAGCTGAATGCAAATAGAGGTAATAATTTACTAAGAGTAGGGTGGCTGATAGGCAGGTTTATTAAATATGTGTCCATTGGCCCTTTTGAGCTTACCTTAAGGGATTAGCAAGGATAAGTAGCCGTCTGCACTTATTCAGTGCTTTCTTGCCCAAAACCTTAAATATAAATCAGTGGTACAATTATGTTCTATAGCTTTGTTGTATATGTAAAATAAACTAAAAAATGATTCCAACAATATGTTCTGCTTTCATGAATCTGATCTTTTAACTGTCTGTAAACATTCAAAGTACTTCTGTATAAAACATTAAAAAATCTCCTTTAGTTGCTTAACTTGTAAAATGCATTGTTTGATTTTCATATTTTGCTAAGAGTTAACAATGTTTATCTCTTTCACTAGCCAGAGTAATCAGTAACTGATGAGACAGTGTGGCAAAGAGGAAAGTTTACTTGACTTAGTGTTGCAGATCCTGAGCTTCAGCTCTATCACTAACCCACTTTGTAATGCTGGGAAAGTCACATTTCTTATGTGTAAAATGTGGGGAGTAGACTTGATGATCTTGAAAACTATGAAGATACTTTTCTGAGGAAGTGGTAAAAGAAGTTGTTTTTAAAAACAGTTTTATCTTGTTATGTAGGTTGTCCCTGAAAGTTAATGGCTTTAGTAGAAATGATGTATAATCACTTTTGAATTTGTGTGTATCTCATCTCTTGAAGGATGCTTCAATCTGGATCCCAATAGAGTTTTGGATGTCATTTTAGAAGTGTTTGAATGCAGGCCAGAACACGATGAATTCTTTATATCTTTATTAGAATCTTATATGAGTATGTGTGAACCACAAACACTGTGTCATATTCTTGGATTCAAATTCAAGTTTTATCAGGTAATAAAAAAATGTGTATGTGTGTATCTCTATATATCAATGGAGAAAGAGGGAGAGGTTAATTTCATCATTTTATATGTACAGTTTAATTTGATTTTGTTTGTAAATGATTGGCTCCAGCTCAGCCATTCAAGCAGAGGAGAGAAGATAAATGGATAGGTAACAAAGCAATATGATCAGTGCTATATTAGTAGGGTGAATGGTTTGATGTGAAAGCCTAGAGGAAAGCATAATAAATATTTGCCTTTCAAGAGATGGAGTCAGGGAGGACCTTACAGATACAACCTTTTTTTCACCTGGTACTTGGAGGATGAGTAGAAGTTTTTTGAGAGTTGTCCATGCAAACGTAACAAGTACTGTGAGAGGGAGGACATGACAGTATGAATATGTAACAGATTGAAGACATGGTACATAATCTGATGTGGCTGATTGTAAGATGGGAAAAGAAGGGACCAGAAGTGAAGTTAGAAAGGTAGGTGCACTTGAGATTGTCAAGGTCCTGTGATATCTGTGCTGATTTAGAATTTTACTGAATAGATAGTGCCCATCACAGTGACCTTTGAAATTTTTTATGGTTATGAGTAAATTCTTAAGGCATATCTTAACATAATTTTTCATTTAAGCGACTGTAGTAATTATCTAACAAATATGTGTTTTGGATTATTTCTGTTTCAATCTATTTTTCATATTATTACTATTACATTCTAAAATAGATGTAATTGACACACTGCACAAAAACCTTTGCCTGCAGGATGAAATTCAAACTTATAAATGTGTGTAGAAAGGCTCTTCACAGTCTAGCCCCATTCTTTCCTTCCACCTTCATCTTTAGTGATTTTATTTTCTTAAACCTAATATTCTCATCATAAGAAATTCCTAGCCATTTCCTGCATTTAAGTAAAGACAGTGCTAGGGATAAACCTTTGTTTATGTGCAGTTCTTTAACCATCTCACCTGTCTTTTCATCTTGTGAACTCCTAATTATCTTTAAAATCAAGTGCTACTTGTTCTGTAATTTCTTCACTGACACTTCACCCATGTGTAATTAGTGACTTTTTAATCTCTGTTCTCATAAAACTTGGCACAGAATTCTATTACTTATCAGGGTATATTAGAATAAAACATATCTAAATCCTTTGCAAGATTATAAACCACTTAGGACAAGGTCTCTGTTTTACTAATTTTTCTGAATTAATTTACTACTTAGCCTATAGTAAATGCTCACTAATTGTAAATGAGTGATCTATGTTTTAGGAAGATAACTGTTGATAGCATGGAGGATTTTAACATAATAAGGCCTCCATTGTCCTGTTGGTATAGCTTTCCTAATTTGTTTTCCTGCCTGAGGTACTTAGCTAGTCAAGAAATACTCATTTATTGAGTGTTTATGATAATGGTGTTGCTTTGCTAGGCACTGAGGATACCCTGGTGAAGAGTGTGTATTCCTGTTCTCTGAAGCTCAAGTTTAGGATAATAATACAGTTTTTTAAGGATTTTCAAATTATAATATCACCTACTGCCTTTGCTTATCTTTGATTTCCCATTTTTTTGGGATGTTGCAGAAGAGAAGTCAGGTGAGAACTTAAAAGTGTATACCATTTTGATACCAAACAAGACTCACGGCAGCGTTTTTGGGCAAGACCACTTTATCTTTGTTCAAGAATTGATGATAGCAGCTGTCCCCTGTTTCACCAGCAGCCAGGGAGGCCACTGTGCAAGTGTTAGTACAGGCAAAGAGAAGTTCAAGTATTTAATCACATTTTAAGAGGCACTGTGATTGCTTTGGGTTTGAGAACATGAAGCCAACTGCTGACATGACAGGGTAGCTGAAATTTAACTTGAGCATGCATGACTAGAGTATAGGTTAGGGCTTTGGAAATTGTAGGTCTTGGACCATATTGCAGTGAATAATGATAATCCACTGCATAACATCAAGTATTGCGAGTTTTAGAACTAAAATTTTTATATGAAAGTATTTCTCATAATGGTAACACTTTTTGGGGTGAATTAAAATATCCCTGGGGGGGGGTGACAATGTTGGAATAATCCTTGTTTCAAAAATAGAATGTCTTTTTCTTACATGAGAAATAACCCAACCAAAAAATATTTGATTTAGAAATAACCTATTATTAGAAAGAATAACCCTCATATTATAACATCATTCTGTTGTTTCTATTGCCCAAGTTATCTTGTGACAATCTGCAATCTTAAGGACCATTGAGGGTAAGGGAAGAAAAGTGTGAGAAATTTTATGGTGTGGGAGGTAAAGGAAGGAAAGTCATAAAAATCAGGAACTGCTTAGGGACTACACCCCTGGGAATTGGTTCCTGGACATGTATGGTCACCCTGTTTATTGGTCCCTTAATTTACTCCTCCCTCCCCTCTTCCTATCACTACCTGAAAATGTTCACTCCTCCTGTCTACAGCCCATATTTTCACCAGTTGGGAATTATTTGGATTAACAGGCTTCTTCCCACTCCCCCCATTGCTAAGACTTTTTGGCAAAGCTAATTATTTCGCTGTGAAGTCAGTGAGAGTGATTTTATTCTGGTTTCAACCTGCTCATACTGGATGTTTTGACTTGGAAAGATAGTAGGGGATATAAGCAGTTTTAGAGCACATGACCATTTTGGAAAATTGGGCAGGCACATTTGATTGATTTTCCTAACAGGGATTACTGCAATAGAGGGTTTAGGGACAACATGAGGGTTAGCACAAAGGACAGGGAGGAAGGAGTACTGGAAGGTGTGAGGGTACCACAGGACTCTTGGGCTGGAGTTGTCTTGCCATCGGAAAGAGGAGCAAGATATCACTGTCACCCATATCACAGCCCCTTGATTCCTGGATTCAAGACAAAATAATAGTAGTAATAGTGGTGCCATGGTTAGGCACTATTATAACTGAAATTCATTCATTTAAGAAATAATGATTGGGCACCTCTTATGCGCTAGGCAATGTTTCGGGCGCTGGGGTGAACAAATAGAAATCCTTGCCTTTATGATCCTTACATTCTAAGTAAGTTACATTGTATGTCAGAAGATGATCATTGCAATGGGGCAAAAATAGAGTAGGATAAGGAAGGTTGGGAGTGTTGGAGTGGTAGGTTGCAATTTTAAGTAGAATGGAGAGAGTGGACCTTGTTGAAAAGGTAAGATTTAAGCAAAGATACAAAGGACGTGAGGGAGTAAATGTGCAGAAAATCTGGGGAAGAACCTCCATGTTAAGAGATCTGCCAGTGCAAAGGCCTTAAGGTGTGAGCGTGCCTGATGTGTTGAAGAATAGCAAGAAGACCAGTGTGGGTGTGTCAGAGTGATTGAATGGCAGAGCGGTGGGGATGAGGTCTAACACGAGGGGCCACATTACACAGAGCCTAGTGCAAGGTTTTTAACTTTGATGCTCGATGAAGCCAGTGGAGGATTTTGAGGAGAGTGGTATGTTCTGACTTTGTGTTTTCATTTTACTTCTCTTTTACTTTTTCACTTTATTATGAACATTTTCAAACATATAGGGAAGAGTGAATAGTGAAATAAATACCCATAGCCCATCACTTAGAAGCAAGTTTATTAACATGTTGGTATACTTTTTTGGAAATAATTATTTGTATTGCTGATGTCATGAACATTTACTCCTACATATGTTAGTGTGTGCTTTTTAAAAGGTCATTTTTCTGTGTACCATGATACCACTTTCATATCTAACTAGATTGCCATCATTATAGTAAACTCAGACCACATTCATATTTCCCAAATTATCCCTGAAATTTTACAGCTGGTTCATTCAAGCGGTAATCCAAAGACCAAACATTACATTTGATTGTTAGGATTCATCAGTCTCTTTTAGTTTAGAATAGTGCCCGCCTTACAATTAATGGCTTTGACTTCTTGAAGAGACCATTCCCATAGAAGACTCTGCCTTTTGGATTTATCTAATTACTTTTTCATGATTGGTTTAATTCGTTCTTTGTCCCCTGTCTTATATATTTAGAGTTAGGTCTAAAGTCTTGACTGTGTTCAGGTGAAATGTTTTATCGCAGAAATATTTCATAGGTTGTACTATATATTTCATATAACAATGTCTAATATCTGTCTGACTTTTAACATTCCAGAATACTGGTGACAGTCTAATCCCTCCATTATACAATAATATTTCCATCCTTGTCAATAGCAAGTAATCTGTAGTTTGTCACTTTGGTACCATGTGAATATCCAGTTTTTCATCAACCTTACATTAAGTGTCTTAGAATAGATGGATGATCCTTTCCTAAATCAGTTATTTCCTTAGCAGTTCCAAATTTTTGATTTACTAATTTTATCATGCCCTCTACATTTATTGACTGTCATTCTTCTATAAAGAAGAGTTGTCCCTTATAAACTTGGGTTGTTTGGTTACCCTGAAATGAAGTTCCTATGAAAGCCAGGGAAAATGCTTTAGTTTTTCCCCCATTAATTACTAGCTGTCAGAGTAAGGAGTTTCGTTAGTAGCAACCTCTAATGGTGACATGAGTGGTGAGTGTGTGAGAAAGAGACAAAAAGACAGAGTGTGCATTTGCGTTTTGACTTAGGTTTTCAAAGAATCAATATGGTTATGGTAGCAGTAGAAGTTAATGAGATCCTGAACATATTTTGAAGGTAGAGCCAGTAGTATTTGCTAATGGATTAGATACAGAATGTGAGAAAGTAGAGTTAAGGATTATCTTAACATTTTTTTTTGGACTGACCATCTAAAATGGTGATGTTGTCATCATTGAGATAGGGTAAATTTTAGGTGGAATGGTTTTGGAGTGTTGGGAATAGGAGGAGTTAGGAATTTGGTTTTGGACATGTTAAGTTTGAGGTTGTGTTAGATATCCAAGTGCAGATGTTGCATAAATAACTGGGTATATGAATCTGGTGTCCAAGAGAACAGAATGGGCTAGTGATAGAATATTGGTGTCAAAAGCATGTAGATGATATTTAAAGTGGTGATACTGTATAAAATCACCAAGGGTTCAATATGGAGAG